AAGAGGAAGAGGAAGAAGAAGACAAGGAATAAGTAGAAGCAGCAGAAGAGGAGGAAGAAGAAGAAAGAGCAAGGTTAAAGAAGAGAAGCCTACAGGTTAAGGTACAAAGAGCACAGTCTTTATAGCAGGGTTGAGTTCAATTCTTGGCTCTGTCTCCTGTTCCTCTTTTTTTTTTCGTTTTTTTTGAGACAGGCTTTCACTGTGCAGTTCAGGCTGGCCTTGAATTCACTTTGTAGCCCTCATTGGCCTCAAAAGGGCAGCGATCCTCCTGCCTCAGCCTCCCTAATGTTGGGATTACAGGCACACCCAGCATGCCACTTCCTCTTATATGTGACCTTGGGAGTGGCCTTCATTTCTCCCAGCCTCAGTCCCTCCTTTGTAAGATGTAGAAGGGATTGAATAGAATAATATTTATGAAGTATGCACAGATTGGTACATAGTAGATGACTAATAAGTAATGGATTCCTCTGCAGCTCCTTTTCCTGAGCTTTTTCTTTGCCTACCAACATCCCTGCACACAGCACTCAAATTTATGCAGTTTCCCACCTTTCTTCTATTTGTGGCTTATAGAAATTACTCTTGTATCCCAGGGTGCAAGGCTGGTGATATACTCCCATTTTATAGATGAGAACAGACTCAGAAAGGTCAAGCTTTTTTCTCAAGATACGCAGCTAGGAAGTGGCAAAAATAGGTTCAAGGCCTAATCTGTTGGGTTGCAAAACTCATGTTCTTTCCATGTGGCACTGTGTGCTCTATTCAGTGATCTCCAGCATCCTTTCTTTTGCAAACTCCCTTCTTTCCCACCATGTGGCAATTTCCCTGTAGGGAAATCAGTTTATGAAACCAGTTCTTCCAGAGCCAGACGTCAGAGGTCACATGCAAAGCCAGTCTCCACTGTGGGGGTTGCTGAGCAGATCTGCGTGGAGAGATGGGGAGACGCACACAAGATGGGTATGTTGCTGCCCTAAAGGAGCCTAACCCTGGCAAGGAGATGGGAAATGCATAAGTAAACAGATGAACAGACCAGAGAGTATGTCTAGTGCCAGGAAGGAAATAGGTGCCCCGAGTGAGAATACCAAGGGGATCTAGTTTGGTCAAATGTGGTCAGGTCGGGAAAGAGCTTTTGGAGAAGGCAGCCTTCAAGCTAGACCAGAGTGATTCAACAGAAATTTCTGCCTCAATGAAATGTTCTAGAATAGAATGTTCAAGAACTGTCTAATGTGCCAGCCACGAGTCACATGCAGCTGTGGAACAATTGAACTGTGCCCACTGTGACTGAATTTTAAACTTTAATGTTAGCTAGTGTAAATCATAAGTAGCCCATGTAGATGGTGACTGTTTTATTGGCCAGCACAAATTTAACCAACGGGCAGGAAGAAATCATACGTGTGAATGTTTCGTTGTGCTAAATGAAGAATTTGCCACACCGCCGGACTTGACAAAATAGGCACACTGTTATTATTTCCTGGTTCTTGGATTCCAAGAAAGTTGTGAAAATTAAATAAATTTTTATAAGCTACTTAGCAAGAGAATAAAGAGGTCAAGAAATGGTAAGTTAAAAACCAGAGTAGGGATGTAGCTCTCAACTTTCTACCCACTTTTTGCCTCCACTATTTTAAGAGGTCTTTGCTGCTCTGGGCTGAAACCACAGCTTTTCAAGTTGGTGAATTTATGAGGGTGAAAGATACCTATCTTCCCTAGAGGAATTAAAGCCAAAATACTAAATGCATTTCCTGCCCCTGTATCTTCATTGCATAAAAACCTAGCACAATCGATAAATCTTTTATTCTTGCCTTGTCCCAACAAAGGAGTAGAGGGAGGAGCAGAACAAGTGTGGTTTTTGTGACTAGCAGTGCTGAATATGGAGATGAATCGACTCTGGGCTGGTGGAGAGTCAGAGAGGTTTTTTTGTTTTGTTTTGTTTTGTTTTTCTCCGGTACCGGGAACCGAACTCACGACCTTGGGCTTGCCAGGCAGGCGCTTTGCCGCTGAGCTAAATACCCAGCCCCGAGAGTCAGACAGTTTTAATCGACGCAGAGAGGACCGGTGGGCTGGGTGGCCTTGGGGGGGTCCCTTTCTGAACGTTCAGTTCCTCATCTGTAGACTGAGGAGGTTGGGCCAGACTTCTGAGATGTGACCTGTGGTCACAAAGCTCAGTGGCATAATAGTTTTTTGTCCACAATCTGTGTGCCTTTTCAGAATGTTAGTACCCAGGGCCCCCTTTAAAAAGTGTCTCCAGAGTATGTCTTGCTGTGAGGCACTGCTGGGCTTCTCCTCTTATACAGGCAGGTAATACCATTTCCTGGGGCCACAGGTCAACCTGGGCCACAGAGAGTAGTGTCAAAAGACAAAATCAACCCATTTAGCGTGAAGGTCTAACTGGTTTCTGTTAGTGATTCTACGACCAGGCAACATCTCATTCTAGAAAACAGAGTGGATTCTTCAGGGAGCTGAGCAGGGAAGGTTGTCTTTATAGACAGAAAAAGGATGAAGAAAGTTGAGTCAAGGAATGAAAAGCAGATTGGTTTTATCGGAGTGAATTTCCTTACAGGGTTAAAACAGAGAGAACTTCCTTAGCATGTTGGCCCCTGCTGATTGGCTGGAGTGAATGTCTTGTTTTGTGGAAGACTGGTCCGTTTCAAAGTTCAGGGTGATTTCAGGGCTCTTAGCATGAGTGACTTTATTCTAGTTTAGTCTTCTGGGACTGTTCTAAGAGCTCAGTGTAGATCACTGACCTCCTGGATGTTTTCTTTAACACTAGTATGGCCAGGCAAGCCAGCCAGTTGCCTGCAACATACTGGAGCATCAGGGAAGTAAAGCTTGACCCAAGAAGGCAAATATGGTAAATAAGAACCCCTGGTAGTAGAATCCAGGAAGCTTCCTTTTTATTACTATTGTCTTTCCTGATAAACTGCTTAATCTGTTTCCTGCTGCTATAACAAAATACCAGAGACTGGGTCATTTGTAAAAGATAGAGGTTTATTTGGCTCACAGTTTTAGATGCTGGGAAGTCCAAGAGCATGGTGCCACATCTGGGGAGGGCCATCTTGCTGCATCATAGACTGGCACATCCCATGGAGAGACAGAGCAAGCATCCTGCTCAGATAGCTCTTCCTTTCCTTATAAAGACATTAATGCCATCATGGAAGCATAACCTCTAATCCTCATCTCACAAAGCCTCGGTCTCCAAATACCACCAATATATGAAGTTGAGGATTTAGTTTTCAACACATGAATGTTTGGGAGACACACTCAAACCACAGGAGCCACTGAATAGTCTATACTCTAATATTTTGAGGTACCTAGCTCCTGCCAAGCAAAACCAGGCGCTAGGGATTGGCCTGGTCCTTCCAGTCCTAATCTGACACTTTCCTCATTTCCAAGACAGAAAACAAAGGCCTAAGGGAAATTTCGGGTATTGGTCCAGGACTCTGTGCTCCTGTGGGAACATAGCAAAGAGGCAATATGAATTTG